AGAGGGAAGGGATGCCATCCAGAGGGACCTGGACAGGCTGGAGAAGTTGGCCCATGAGAACCTAATGAGGTTCAACAAGGCCAAGTGCAGGGTGTTGCACTTGGGCCAGGGCAATCCCAGGTACTTATATAGACTGGAAGAAGAACTCCTTGAAAGCAACCCTGTGAAGAAAGACTTGGGGGTCCTGGTGGCCAAGAAGCTGGACATGAGCCAGCAGTGTGCACTTGCAGTCGACAGGGCCAGCTATGTCCTGGGCTGCATTAAAAAAGGGGTGGCCAGCAGGGAGAGGGAGGTGATTGTCCCCCTCTACTCTGCCCTTGTGAGGCAGTACTGTGTACAGGCCTGGGGCCCCCAGCACAAGAAGACATGGAGCTCTTGAAACAGGTCCAGAGGAGGGCCACAAAGATGGTCAGAGGGCTGGAGCACCTCTCCTATGAAGGAAGGTTGAGTTAACTGGGCTTGTTTAGCTTGGAGAAGAGAAGGCTCCAGGAAGACCTCATTGTGGCCTTCCGGTACTTGAAGGGAGCTTATAAACAGGAGGGGAAGCAACTATTTACAGGTGTTGATAGTGACAGGATGAGGGGGAATGGTTTTAAACTAAGGGACAGGAGATTTAGGTTAGATATTAGGTGGAAATTTTTCACTCAGAGGGTGGTGAGGCACTGGAACAGGTTGCCCGGGGAAGTTGTGGATGCCCCATACCTGGAGGCATTCAAGGCCAGGATAGATGGGGCCCCCATCCCTGAAGGTGTTCAAGGCCAGGCTGGATGGGGCCCTGGGCAGCAGGCTCTAGTGGTTGGCAACCCTGCCCACAGCAGGGGAGTTGAAACTAGATGATCTTTAAGGTCTTTTTCAACCCAAGTCATTCTATGATTCTATGATTCTATGAATATCAGAAAAATATTGTTTCACAGATCTGTTCCATGTGATGAAAGAACCCAGCTATAACAGTGTGGTGTTCAGAAGTGTTATTGTTCCAGTGGAAGATTCTGAATTAAAAATGTATTTGCTTATTGGAGAAGGTTTCCTTAAAATAAAGGAAGAACTGTGTTTGTTTAATTTGAAAGAGTCTTCTGACAACAAGTTGCTCTGTGAGGCTCCTATTTTCTCTGGTTTAGATTTCTATGGGTTAGATTTCAGGAATTCTTGGAATGTAGAAAATGAGAGGCCAAGGTGAAATGTCTTCTTTGCAGTTGAACTACACAAGGCTTCTGCCTCTTTGCTCTAGAGTAACATACTTGCGTTAGTTTCAGCTAGATTCTGATTTTGCTCCAGCAGAGTCAATGATCACACTCTCAGAATTCATAAGGCAGTATTGATCTGGCCTCAGAAAAAGCTATTTTTCCCCCCTTTACTGTGTCATCCTGGGATACAGTAAGAAAAAGATGTTAAAGACAAACCCATTAAGGTTCTTCCTGGAAATGTGATGCAGCCAAGGGACTACATTCAGCTTCCCCCTTTGCAGCCCCTTCGTACCTGGGAAACTCCATGTGGAAAAAAGGGCTGCGGAACATTCCAGCAGGAAAGACCAACATGTGGTGCCTTATTGAGTAGTATGAATGCACAGTCCAGGGGGATACATGCCAGCTAGAAGCAGAAACAGAGAAACAAGAGAATGTATTAACTAATCTCATACCTTGCTCCTTTCCCCTACTGGGTTTGCAAAAATAGTGTGCTCAGTACAACTGTTCATACAGCAGCAGCAAATTAGGAAATTCACATTATCTAGAGTTAAACATATTTGAAACAAACCTTCACTTATTTACAGATGGTCAGAGCTGTTAGCTTAGCTTTCATAAATATTAAGAGATTTGCTCTCACAACTTTCCTGTCAAGTAAATTAGGATTAACAACCTCCTATGAAGTCGTACACGGAATACTCTTTAGTCAGTGTAAGGTCCCAAACACAACCGCCAATGCTGCCTGCCTTCTGAAGTATCCTATGTCGATGCCTTTGAGGTGACCCTGCCAGCATTCACATCGTCACAGAGCTTCGCTGTTTGCTTTGCTGCTAAGTCCAGGAGAACAAGCTATTCCCCTTATTCAAGGGTTCATGGGCAAAAAATATTCTTTTTCCAGGAGTCTAGAGATCCCTCCACAACAGTAGGTTTTTTTGGTAGGCATGAGCTCAGGCTGAAGACAAGACAGGCTGCAAGATTACAGGTTTTTTTAAGCAAGATGCAGCAATGCAGCTTTGCAGCACAAGAGGACAACAGCATCTCATCTTGCATTAGGAGAATTGTTGCCAGCAGGTAAAGACAGGTGATTATGCCTCTCTATTCAAGACTGGTGAAACCACATCTGGAAGTACTGTGTCCAGTTCTGCCCCCATCTCCCCCACCTGCCCTCCCCCTTCCTTCCCAAGTGAGACAGAGATATAGACATACAATTGGACACAATCCTGAGTGACCTGCTCTAGCTGATCCTGCTTTGAGCAGGAGGATTGGACTAGGTATCTCCACAGCTTCCTTCCAACCTCAGTTAGCCCACCAGTGTGTGATTCTGTAATATTTTTCAGATCAGTATCTGACACTTACTTATCCTGTGAGCGATGCTGAAGGAGTTTCAAGTAGGAATTTTCCCTCAGTACTTTCAAGCAAGCCACGACATTGAGGAAAAAAGTGTCTTCATTTATCTCCAACTGAGGGAAGAAACAGGTAATCTGATTGTTATAGGGCATGAGCGAGGAACGAGTTGGACATTGTAAGGAAGAGAAAAGTCCCAAGGGTCATAAAAGAGATCATCAAAAGGCAAACCAATGCAATACTTGTGTTTTTTTTCTCTCCCAGTTCTTCAGTTTAAAATGTGACAGGAATGTTATTTGCAAGCCAAACAGAACATACAAGCAGGTCACAACCAAGGCCAGCCACTCTAAATAGGAGACAGAATAGGCAACAATGTAGAAGCAATAGACAAAGGTTCTCTGGGCCCATATGTTCTCAGAAAATGAACATTAGGAAATATGCATTGCTCCAGAGGTCATGGCCTCATAGCAGCAGACAACACAACAGCTGATACAGGCAAACTGCCAATAATGAGACAAGCATGTTTACATAATAACGCTCACATTCTGGTATTCCAGGTTCACTTTGTCAGTCTGGAGTATGTGAGCTGGATAGCCAATCTCCACTTGTAGTTTGGAAACCTAAAATCACAATAAACAAACAAACAAACAAACAAAAAGAAACATGACAAATAGGAGACTTTGCATTCCAGAAGTCCTTTTTGAACTCTATTTCTAAATTACCTAAATACAATCTGTGAATCATAGAATCATAGAATGGTCTGGGTTGGAAAGGACCTAAAAAAACATCGAGTTCCACCCCCCCTGCCATGGGCAGGGACACCTTCCACTAGATCAAGTTGCTCAAAGCCCCATCCAGCCTGGCCTTGAACCCCTCCAGGGATGGGGCATCCACAGCTTCTCTGGGCAACCTGTTCCAGTGTCTCACCACCCTCAGAGTAAAAAATTTCTTCCTAATATCTACCTTATTTCAGTTTAAAACCATTACCCCTTGTCCTGTCACTATAATCCATGATTAAGAGTGCTTCCCCATCCCTTCTGTAGTCCCCCTTCAGGTACTGGAAGGCTGCTATTAGGTCTCCTCAGAGCCTTCTTTTCTCCAGGCTGAACAACCCCAACTCTTTCAGCCTGTCCTCATAGGGGAGGTGCTCCACCCCTCTGACCATCTTTGTGGCTCTCCTCTGGACTCTCTCCAACAGATCCATGTCTTTCTTATGTTGGGGGCCCCACATCTGAACACAGTACTCCAGGTGGGGTCTCACAAGAGCAGAGCAGAGGGGGAGAATTACTTCCTTCGTCCTCCTGCTAATGCTTCTTTTGATGCAGCCCAGGACACGGTTGGCTTTCTCGGCTGCAAGTGCACATTGCTGGCTCATGTTGAGCTTCTCATCAACCAACAACCGGAAGTCCTTTTCCTCAGCGCTGCTCTCAATCCATTCTCCACCCAGCCTGTATTTGTGCTTGGGATTTCCTTGACCAACATGCAGGACCTTGCACTTGGCCTTGTTGACCTTCGTGAGGTTTGCACGGGCCCACCTCTCAAGCCTGTCCAGGTCCCTCTGGATGGCATCCCTTCCCTCCAGCATGTCAGCCGCATCACCCAGCATGGTGTCATTGGCAAACTTGCTGAGAGTGCAATTGATGCCACTGTCCATGTTGTCAACAAAGATGTTAAGCAACACTGGTCCCAATATCAACCCTTGCGGAACACCATTCATCACCAGTCTCCACTTGGACACTGAGATGTTGACCGCAACACTCTGAGTGCAACCATCTAGCCAATTTCTTATCCAGAGTGTGGTCCTTCCATCGAATCCATGTCTCTCCAAGAATGTTGTGTGGGGCAGTGTCAAAGGCTTTGCACAAGTCCAGCTAGATGACGTTGCCCTTCCCTTATCCACCAGCTGAAACTAACGCAAGTATGTTACTCTAGAGCAAAGAGGCAGAAGCCTTGTGTAGTTATCCACCAGACTGTGGCCCCATCATAGATGGCCATCAAATTTTTCAGGCACGATTTGCTCTTGGTGAAGCCATGTTGGTTGTCACCAATCACCTCCTTGTTTTCCATGTGCCTTAGAATAGTTTCCAGGAGGACTTGCTCCATGATCTTGCTGGGCACAGAGGTGAGACTGGCTGGCCTGTAGTTTCCTGGGTCTTCCTTATTTCCCTTTTTAAAAATGGGGGTTATGTTTCCCCTTTTCCAGTCTGCAGGAACTTCACCAGACCGCCATGACTTCTCAAATATGATGGATAGCAGTTTGGCAACTTCATCCACCATTTCTCTCAGGACTTGAAGATGCATCTCATCAGGTCCCATGGACTTGTGCACCTTCTGGTTCCTTAGAGGGTCTCACACCTGATCTTCTCCTACAGCTGGTGGTAGGACTCCCAGTCACTGCCTTTGCCTTCTGCAACTTGGGCAGTGTGGCTTGAGCTCTTGCCAGTGAAGACTGAGGTAAAGAAGTTGTTAAGTACCTCATCCTTCTCAACATCCTGGGTAACCAGGTCTCCCGCTTCCTTCCGGAGAGGGCCCACATTTTCCCTAGTCCTCCTTTTATCGCTGACATACTTATAGAAGTTCTTCTTGTTACCCTTAACATCCTTGGCCAGGTTTAATCATATCAGGGTTTTAGCTTTCCTAACCTGTTCTCTGGCTTTTTGGACAGTTTCTCTGTATTCCTCCCAGGCTACCTGTCCTTGCTTCCACCCTCTGTAGGCTTCCTTTTTTTGTTTGAGTTTGCTCAGGAGTTTCTTGTTCATCCGTGCAGGCCTCCTGGCATTTTTGCCTGCCTTCCTCTTTGTTGGGATGCATCGCCCCTGAGCCTGAAGGAAGTGATCCTTGAATATTGGCCACTTTAATCAGACCTTCAAAATGACAGCAACTCTGTTTCAACAAGACATCATCTCTTGCTACTCTGCTTTCTTAACTCAATTACATGGGGCCTAATGTTGTTCTACTCTTCTCTTTAAAGCATTGTTTTCTGGCATTCAGCTTTATAGTTTTTAACATCTTTGGTGTATAAAACTGAATCGTATCTCCATATAACTAATTCAGAGTATCCATGGACAAACACTGAGCCTTTCTGTGCCCACACATCAATGTACAATCAAACACGTGTGATGGCACTTATAAGACCACCTACAATGAGACATCTAGTTAAGATTGTTTGCCTGTAGAAGCAGGTACGAATACATGAAGGTGCAGGCCCCTTGCATTCCTTCTCCAAAGGCTTCAGGGAAAGGAAGGCTTTATGCACACACCAAGATTTTAGCCTCTTGGCGAGTCTGTTCATCCATCCACTCCAACTGATCCAGTTGGCCATAGAGGGTATCTTGGATCTCAGAGAACATCTGCTCAGCCTGCCATGGAGAAAGAGAGCATGGTCAGAACTGCAGAAAAACATTGTTCATGCTTAGCTACCATCTTCTCATGGTCCAGCAATTCAACCACAGAATAATTGGGGGAAATTCCTCTTCTTGTGATAAAAGAGGAGATTTCAGTTTCTGCAATGATTTAGGCTTAAGGCATCCAGTAGGTCCTCACAGGGCTCACCATTCTCTCCCACACACCTTTTCATCTTGCCTCTCACAGTAACTAAGAGGGAAACTTTCTTTTTATTCTTTTTTATTAATTCTTTTTAATTTAATCCCTGTTGGGATAGGAATGTACCAAATGATTGACACTCTTCTTGAGTGAAATGAAAATTCAGTATCCAGAATATTTCATGCTGATGTCTCCTTTTCTGAAGTTATGGCAATCTGAGTCTCTCCTTCACAAAATTATGTTCTGTTCATTCAGCTTTGTGCTTCACTCCATGTAGCCCTAGTTTTCCTGTTAACTTTTCTTGGGGTTATTTTCTCTTGTCACTGTATACACTGCAAATTCTTTATAAAACCTGATGCCTACGCTAAATTCCCTCAAAAGAAAAAGGAATTCTGATCAACAAAGAAAAAAAAAATCTTTTCTGCACTGCAGGCAAGTGTTCCTTTTACTGTGGATCCACTCAGAATGTTTTGGTATTGATCTGTTGCTGTACAACTGGTCATATGATGGCTTTGCAATTAAAAATCTTATTTAAATATGTCACATTGGTGATGAGTACTGCAAATACTAACTGTCATTCCAGGAAGTACACTGAGATAGCATGCATTTGTAGGGCTGTCATACCTATCGGTGCTGCACATGACTTTGCTAACAGTTGAAATAAAGACAATTACCAGTATTTTAACATTGATTATTCTAGCAATGACAGCAATGTCTTGTTCTGGCATCTTTCATACCCAAAAAAAGGAGGGGAAGTGAATAACTACAGGAATACCTTAAAAGGTGCAAAACCTACACATTATTTTGCTGCCTTCATGTGGTCTTAAGTTGGCATGTCAAAAAAAAGAGAGATGAAGCTGAGTTCTGCCTAGGGGTTAAGAGGATGAATACCTACAAGTTTCTTGGTCTGCTGAGGGAAAATTTCTTGCACAATCATCTGCCCTAGAACTGGCTCAAAGAAAAAGCTGGTATCGGTCAAGCACTTCCTCCAGCGCTCAGCTGGGATCTGTAAGAACAGAGAAATGGAGATACATGAGAGTGAGGGCAAAGAGATAGGAAGACAGTAAAAAGATAGGTAAACATGCAGTCCGTAGCATATACATTCCTATCTAAAAATGACAGCAGTGAATGTTGAGTAATATAGTTCCATTTAAGCTACCTCAGAAAACTTTAATCAAGCAAAATATTTATTTCCTTAGGTTTAACCTGCTTACTTTCACACAAGATAAAGACTCTTATGATAGCTGAGACAAATACGTAGAAGAAAGGTGACTGTCTATCTACTGTTCCCTACCCCATGATACAGTGCACTTAGCTCTCTAAAGTTTTGTGTGTCGTGTCTACTCCCAAATTTCTTTGAGAAAAAAGAAACATTTAATGGCCTAGTGAGAGTGGTTTTCCTCTCCAAATCCAAGTAACTCCATCCAGATAAGGCATCAAGAGAACATCTGGAATACGTGTCGTAGGGTGTTCAGCTGCTGGGGAGGCTGAAGAAGATGGTTAAAGGCTAACTCACCATTTTAGTTACCATTTTTCCATAAAGAATCTTAGATAGCTCCAGGCGTGCATCTTGGAATCGACTGTCAAGGGCTGGGGAGAGATTCCCAACCAGACAAACAATCATATAAATGTGAAGGACCCTGTAGAAAAATAACATTTAAAAAGACTGAAGATTGAAGGCTGGTCACTATAAACACAGAGGTGTGGAAAGCATAAGAGGAATAATTTGAGGCAGAGGAAACCTAGTAACCTGTACAATGACAACAAAGTACTCTGAATGGGCTACACCTGGGGCTATCAAAGGTTGAGAATTTGACATGAGTCAAACAAAGAAATTCCCCAGGACACCATGAAGACTCAAGGAGTTATTGCCTGCTGGGGCGCAGGATTCTTTACGAGAAGCAGGAGAAAGAGCATTTTTAGGACTGTATGAAAATTATAGAGTATTTTGAGCAGTCTGTGGAATTCTGTGAGACTTATTATGGGATGTTTATGGGAAGGGCCAAAGGCAGGAAAAGGGAAGGATTATGGTGGACTGGTGGTAACACGCATGGAAGAAGGAAGAGGAAAGGTGGTAAGAGAGAACAGTTGAGTGTAAACTTGTGGGTTGCCAGGATGTCTGTCTGACTGACCCTGGAACACTGTCATCAGAATCTGTCCTATTTTATTAAATGCTATTTGTAAGCATCATTCTGCTCTTTCTGTGTGTGGGGATAGGACTGGATACTGGAGAGACAAGGAGTCTGAGAGTTGACTACTGGAGGGACTTTGATTCAAGTTAGCTGCTGGAGAGAACAGAGTTCTGAGAGTTGGCTAGTGGAGAAACTAGCAGTTTGGGCCATCTACTGGAGAAATCTGCTTGTATATGCATGTTTGTAACAAGAAGAGACCACAGCAACCAAAGCAGGCCTGCAAGACAGGGGCTCATATATCTAGGTGCCAGCAGCCATGGAGAGTTTGGGGCCAACTTCTGGACAGACTGAATACTTAGGACCAGCTATTGGAGTGATCCATATTTTGAGTGTACATATATATATATATAATTCACTAGTATAGACCAATCCTAGAGGAGAGGAGGAATAGGATCACACTGTCTGAGTTGTTCACATTTGTATGAGTGCTATGGGTGGGTGGGTGTCAGTAAAGACACTGTGTCCATCTCTGTTGACCTGTGTGACACATATATATATCTATATTTATAAGTGTACTTAGAACTGGCTAAACTTGTGGATATAGACCCACATCAGCTTTGTAATTGTTAGGCTCTAACACAGACCTCTTTAATTTATGGTATCTGAAGTTAGTATTTCTTGAGCCATGAACAATTACAGCCATGAATATTGACTCTTACCTTTCCTTGCGCCACTGTTCAATGAGCTGTGACATGCCTCTTAAGTAATCCATGTCATGCACTGCAATTGGCTGGGAGAGGTTCATTGGCATAGGATGGAAGACAGCCTGGAGACATGACAGCCAGTCAATAGCAGGTGCCTTTTCCTAGAAGGAAAACAAAACTTACATTGATCTAAATTGACTAACAAGAAATAATAGGGAAACTGGGATAGTCTCTGTAATACTGTTAAGAGATATTTTCAACAAGTGAAACTGTTTTTATGATGTGGGTATTTATTATAGTAGAAAAGGAGAACTGACCCTTTTTTTATTGAATTAGCACTGGGGAGGGGAGAGAGTTGTGGGCCTGAAAAATCCAACTGCTCTCAGTAAAAGAATGCAAGTTAACAGGTTATTTAAATCTCAACAAAACCTAAATGTGAGTTACAAAGGAATGACATCTAAACAGAGTGTCTCATATCTCTTTTGATCCGTATCTTCAGAATGTGAATGTCACTTTTAATTGTTTCTCAAGCTCTAAGGCATAGATACCTGTAGCTCCCTAATGGTAGTGTGAAAGAACAGCATCCCCCTCTGCTGTCTTTCCTGCAGTGGAGTGACAACTCGCTGGAGGTTAGAGATGAAGGACAAGGTAAGGGAAAAGGAATCAGGGGGACCATCCTCTGGCCCTCCAAGTAAGCCTCCCAGTTTCTTCAAATATGAGAGATACACACGGAGAACCTGCAATACAGAGCATATGACCAGCAGGAGAAAGATGACTAAAAATTAGTACCCCCATTCATCCATCCAACCATCCCTCACGACCATACAAGCTTCAATCTTTCAAAACCACTGCAGCCCTGTCCCTAAAACTGTCTTCTTCACTGCAAATCCTTATGTAATTCTTCATGTGGAATACAGTTTGCCAAGTGTAGTTCCTCTCTCAGTGAAGAACATGGAATTGTCAAAAAGTTATTTTTGCCCCACCTTAGTATTACATTAAATACTGGAATAATTTTAGAGATGTAGGCCTGCCATCTCTGGAGTCAAAGGAGAGGGATGTAATGATATATGATACAGTATTTTTGATGGAGAAAAAATACTGGCTTCTTGCTTCTATGTTCATAAGGTATCAAAGGAATGCTTCTGATGGTTACACAGGTTTACTTTTTTGAGGACTCTTCTGAAAGAGTCAGACTGAGAAACTGAAATCAACTCAGTTTTTATGAAGTTCAGAAAAATGATAGAGCTGTGATGAAATTAATTTTGTTGCAATAACCTCCAAGGTCAAAGGGCTTGTTTTGCCAACTTAGGTTAAAACATTTTAAAATAACTTTGAAATGCTAGCTATCCTTCCCTCAACACACAGTTGTTATAAAGCCTTCCTTTGGACAAGAACTTCTTTTTTTTTTTTTAATATTCATTCAAGGTGAAACCTAGAGGGAAGCCCAGGTTCACAGTACTTAGCAAATACAACTTAAACCTATAACATTCTGTTTCTACACTAGAAGTTTTAAACCTGGCATCTAAAAATGAGTTACATTTCACAAACTTTTTATTTTTAAAAGCAGAGAGTTTTGTAAAGAATTCTTTCTGAAGACATTTTCAGAGGTCACTGACCGGAACCCATGGAAACAGACACTGAACCAGGAGGCAATTCAAGGAGATCCCTATACCAAATAACTGTTTTTACCTTTCTTCACCCTCTGATATGTTACCTCAGGATAATTTTTCTCTTTGAATTTACTCTCAGGTGGCATTTCAAACTCAGGATGGTCGATCTGCGAAAAGGAGTAAAGGAAAAACATCTCACTATTTCTGGAAACCCAGTAAATTTGAGGATATGCTTGATGGTCTTTGTTAATTTCTGTGTCACAGAATCTGAAATGTTAATAAATTGCTTTTACTTTTGGAAAACGTTTCCTAGGTGAATTTTGTGGATCTATCATATTATGCAGCTCATTTACAAGCTCATTTCAAATCTGTAGTGACTGATACTGAAATGTAAACCACATTGTTCAATACTTCTACATGGTGCACTGGTTTTGGCTTGGATAAAGTTAAATATACAAATGAGTGATACACAGTGAAACTGCTTACCACGTGATAACCAAGGCTCAGCCTGTTCCCAGCTAACGATCCGGGAGAAGGGAGAGTCCTGACACTGCAATCCCAGAACAGAGATAAGACTCTGAGTCTTTGAGAGACTGAGACAACCCTGAGAGAGAGGCGACCCAGGGGGAGACGACCTGGAGCGAGAGAGAGTACTTCTGGATGGATCCTCATTGATATGCTAGGCATGACATGCATGATATGGAATATACTATTGGCCAGTTTGGGTGTCAATCCTAAACCTAAGGTCAAATCCTAGGCTAGTAATTGGGACTATGGTCCCTCCTAGCTTCTTCTGCACCTGCAGACCCTGGCACAGCAGAGAAGCTGAAAAGTCCTTGACTGTCCTGGCAGCAACTATAAACATCACCATGTTATCAGCCTTCCTCTCTGCACAAATCCAAAACATAGCGTCTCACTAGCTACTATGAAGAAAGCTAACTCTGTCCCATCTGAAACCAGGACACAGTGTCAAGGCCTTTTCTGCTCCTCACACCACCCCTCTAGTGAGTAGGCTAGTGGTGCACAAGAAGATGGGAGGGGAAACAGGTGGGACAGCTAACCCCAACTGACCAAAGGAATAGTCTGTACCATATAACATCATACTCAACAATAAAAGTGGGGGTAAAGGAGGTTGGAGAGGGCTGCCATTGCTTGGGAACTGGCTGGGCAGTGGAGGGTTGGTGTGAGCAACTGGGGTTTTTTTGCATCACTGTTCATTTTTTTTTTTTCTTTCCTTTTTTTTTTTTTTTTTTTAATTATTAAACTGTCTTTTTCTCAACCCATGAGTTTTCACACTTCTACTCTTCTGATTTTCTCCCCCATCCCACTGTGGGTAGGGGACTGATGAAGTGGCTGCACAGTGCTTAGCTCCCTACCAGGTTCAAACCACAACAGTGAGCTGCAAAATTCGTAGTATACTATGTGTATTAGACACTTAGCACTTAGACTCCATTATTGTACTAGTCATACCCATGCACATAAGAAGAATCAGACCCTTCCACAATGAAGTATAATCTACACTGTCAGACAGAAGAAATGAAAGAAAGTAAGCAATTTATTCTTCCTCATCTGCTCATTTTCCAGAAATAAGTGCTTTTTATGTAATAAAATCAAAAAGTTTACTGAAATTTAGGAAAAATTTCTCCAGAGAAGAGCATAGGCTTAACTTGAGCAAGCCTGGGTCTTTTAGGCTGTGTAACTGACTCTTTATTCCCAGTGTTTCCTGATAATTTTCTTTCTTTAGTCCACTCACCTGAATAATATTGGTCTTGAGGTCAAAAGGACTAGGTCCCACATGCACTCTGAAAAAGGGAAAGGTGCTGTATCTGCTCATGAGAGTCTGAAGAATTTCATTAAATTCTTTTGCTTTCCCCACACCAGTGATATTCCATCCACCAACCTGGAGAGGGAGAGAGACATCATGCAGCAGGTGAGAAAAACACTTCTGATCCATACTTACAAAATCTTTCTTTCACTCCTATAAGCTCAGTCATTATGACAACTGTGAATCAACAAAGCAAATAGCAACAGGGAATACTCATGAAGATTTCTACATACCCTATTGGCTTTAAAAACTGACCTGTCAGTTTCACTTAATCAAAGCAATGAACTGCAAAAATGACACAAGGAAAAGGAATGATAATTATCAACACAACAAGGTGTACAGCAAAAAAGAAGAAAGAGAGGGGAAAGAGGTCTCATTTTTTTTAAAGCCATCCAGAAGGACAACTAGGGATCAGGGATTACATGTCCCACCTCCCTGACAAGCAGAGTCACAAGTGGGCCTGCAGTCACTTTTCCTTCTGCTGGAAGGTTCTGCATCCTCCTTGGAGACAGGGCATAAATGTCCTTTGCTGGCAGGAAGTTGTACAACCCTCCCTGGCACTGAGGAGTCTCCCAGAATGGAAAGAGAAGCATTTTTTGCTTTAAACAAGCTCCACTGAAGCCTGGAATAGTGGTTGGCCATGAGATCTTAGACACAAAAATTTCACCCCTTTTTTCAAGATATTCCCTGATCTGTAAGTTGGATCCTATTGAAATGAGCTTCTGAAATTATAAGTGATCCCTCTTTGTAATCTTGGTTGTTGTACAGTCCTAAAGTTATATATAAGGTCAAAAGGAAAGATTCAGGTACATGATGTCAGAAAATCAAATCTTGAAACAGCATTTAAATCTAGAAGATTTATTACTTAGAGGTTGTGCTGTGAACCGTGAGCCTATTTCAGGGCCAGATGCTGGCAAAATTCTATCATGTAGGACCATATGGCCCTAATTTCAGACATTCCATTTCCCTGCAGAAATTATCTTCAGGAGGGAGAGGAAGTAGCACAAACATTCACCTGATTTAGGAGGTCCTTCAATGGTTGAGTTCCTTGGGATTCTATCCGTTGTGTATCCATGCAGGAACGATAGAACTGGATTGCTTTCTCCTTAGCTGAGCCTCTTATCCCAAACTGTGGGCCCTCTGAGGAAAAAAAAATAATTGAAGAAAAACTACAAAAGTGGTTAAATAAAAAGTTGAGGCAGTATTAGAGCTGCAAAATGTTGTGAGAAAATATTACACTGCACTTTGATTCAGAACAATTTAGTAAATACATCCACACTTCCCATAGTCACTCAAAGCAAAAGACCTTCTAGTGCCATGGCTCTTCCTGAGGCCAAATATGTGAGTTTCTTTGCATGGAAACAGAAGCACTACAGGAAGGTGGTGCGTATCTAGGCTTCAGTCCCACACGGCATCGGGACACATGACTGGAGTGCACATTCAGACAAGCGCAGCAAAAAGGGTCTACTTTTACAAGGCAACAGAAAATTGACTTGGGTTGCTGTCAGAATTTTAAAGTGTGAGTTCTGTCCGTTACACTTGGCAAGGTGAAATAAAATGTTTAAAATGCTGCCATTGTAATATGACATGCTCAAAAATAAATCTGCACCTGTGATGATAGAAGAATGAAGAGACTGGACTCAGTCCCTTTTAGGAATGATTGTGCTCTCAGTTATTAGTGTTCTCAGCTCTGAAGGTAACACACCAGCAGGTGTCCTTACCTAAAAGCCTTTTCAGGATCAATTGGTTTTCCTCCAACAAGACATCAAATACATTTAGTGATTCTTCTGTGGTTCTGTTTGAGTGTTTGCCTTCCCAGCTCCCACAGGCATATTTGTAGAAATCCTCACAGGGGTCTACAGTGTCATTCCTAGAATTCAGGAGTCTGGACAACACTGTAAGACCCAGCTCACCGTCACAGGATCCTGGGCAGGAAGTAAATAGGAGAAAATTGAGCAGTGACAGTGGAGACTGAGAACATTTCCCCTGAAAGATTTATTTTTGATACAAACTCCATTGCATGCAGTGTTGAATTCCTTGTAAGCTTTTGCTGAATATGGAACAAAGTGTGTTGTGTCTTTCACTTCACAGGAAGATTGCATTTGCACTTTATAAGGGAGATTCTTTAAATAAAGGACAGGTGTCCTCTGTTCATACTATCTAGGGCAGTAACAGGTTGGATTATTCTGTCTTCTCAGTGTATTTTCTCTGAGTCAGACAAATTTGGCCAAATGATAAAAAAGAAGCAACTGATAGTGTCAACACATGAAGAAGAAGGACATAGCACAGAGAAAGTAAGAAGATAAGTTTAAAATGTGGATAGAGATGTTCAAGCATGGGAAACATCTCTCATCAATTACATTTGTTAAAACGGGACAAAGATTTTCTAGTACATCTTGCTTTGATCTAAAAATCCTTTTATCTAAACTTCTGCAAACCACGGGGTATGTGTTCTCATTTTGATTCAGGGTCTTGTATCAACATCAGATCAGATAAATTATTTACTGAAATAAGCCACTTGTAAACCCAAGTAAGACTTTCCATAATATGGTTTCAACACTTGACATGGGAGGAGGTAGGCAGAGTGGAAATAGACAAGATCTAAACTGACAGTTTTTCCTTGGTCTCTGTAGTGAATGGTCTCCAAAACAAAAAGAAAACTGCTGAGTGAAGAGTCAATAATGTTTACTGTGGGCAGGGAATGTCTGCAACCACCAATATATATGCACTTTCAGTACCAAGTATTCTATATGCGTAAACATTTACATGGACCATTCTGCAGACAGTTGTTTATCAGATTTTGAAAGGCAAATTAGTATTTCATTAGCAATGACTTTTCTTCCTACACTATGACTGTACTGTTCTATGCTAGAAAACTAGGACTAGATTCATTAAGTCAGAGATAGAAAGGTGGAAGAGGAGCTCCGAATCTCAGATTCAGTCCAGTTTCTGGAGGTGACTACAGAGAGAGCAAGACATGATGATGAGATGCAAGACAATATAATGATGCTCTCCCTCAAAACTGGGCTCAGGCATATTAAATGGCAGGCAGAGGAGGAGGATAGGTGTGGGGATCTCTCCCCGCTATTACCCAAGGAAGAGGCAGAACAGTGTACCTTTTTTACAAGTGGTGTTATGATTCTTTGAAATTCTGAAAGTCTGATTCTTAACACAGATGCTAAGCCTAATACACAATGGAGGCAGATAGTAGAGAAAGGGGTCTTACAAATGGGGTGGATGAGGAAGCAGGGAAAAGTATATCCCATATTATACCTAGACCACAAGTCATCATGATGTAGGTGATAAGCAGTGTAAAACCAAGGAGAGTACTGAGAAGAAGTGTACACAGTAGACTTTTCCCCTGAAGACATCGTTTGTTCTTTGCACCTGTTTTCAGCTCCTGGTCACAGGTCTGAAGAAAGAAAAATGAGACAAACAGAAAAAATGAAGAAAGAAAAATTCATATTGAAGTTAGCACAGGTCATATACTCCATCTTACACCTAATCTACTAGAAAATCACTCGTAATACTAGTGCCAGAATACCAACAATCATCCAAGTCATCTAGGTGACTGTACTCCTGGAGGCTTTCTCACCTCCTCCATTTCCCTGTCTTTTTCAGCTACAGTTGTTGCACAGTGTTATGAATTATGCATTGAAAAGCCAGCTTGCCATGAGGGGCCCTGCCCCTCCATAGTTCCTTCTGGTTTATGGGATCACCTTGCATATATGTCCTGAAGATATAAAAGCCTTTTGAGCCCATAAAGCTAATAACAGGATGGCTAGGACTGGTGGTTCTCTATTCTGTTACAGTCTGGCAACCTGAATATTAATTTCAGATCTCTCCTCAATAAATAACTCCCACTTCCAAAGCCCTCTAGTCCAGTTCAAGTGAGAGAAAATATGTGCCCTTTTCTAAAAACTTCAGTAAGCCATAAGTCACAGAGATGATCTTACATACAGACAGGTTTTATTTCACTTAAATTTAGTTATGTTCATAATCTATGTGTGTCTTTTTAGTCAGCGGAGAAGGCTAGGCACCTAAGGTGTACAGCTTCTATTTTAAACATCTGCCTTAGGATGAGCTGAAGCATCCTCCAAAGTCACCTGTCTTTTTCTCCATTGACTGCAAAGGAAGCTAGATGACTATGTTAGGATACACCCTTAATGTCTACCTGGATAAAGTTAGATAAAATGACATTCACTGTGTGTGTCCACTGCTTCTACCTACTTTGATGTACATAAAACTGGAGAATAGCAGATTACAAGAGAACAGACATGGGAATGGATGCTGGTAATATAAGGAAAGGTAAAGAACCAAAAAAAATGAAAAATGAAAAGTGGAATAACTGAATAAGAATACACAGTGAGAAAAAGGAGGCAGAAGGGAAAAAAAAAACAGAAAATAATGGAAAACCTGGGAGGAAGAGAGGTAGAGAAGAGATGGTATGGCAAGCAAGGAGTAAATTTCATAGGTGTGAAAGCTGATGGAAATGCTGCTTTGGGAGTCTTACATGCCAGTGCCAGGGTCTTGCCTATACTGTCCGCACAGCCTTAAGTTTAGCTCCCTGTGCTCAAGCCTGATTCTCTGATAAAAGAAAGTTGTTTGAGAAACCTTGACAGGCCTTGGAGCTCTTTGAGAAAAGCTAGAAGCAACCTCGGTGGAGGTGCCTGCTTCTTCACTTGGGTGCTGCTTTTTGCAGCTCTCAGGCATGATCTCCGAGCTATGCTCCAGCAGCAGCCATGCCTAGAGCTGACCTTAACCTACCAACTTGATTCTGTAGGTTTGACCTTGGACTTGCCTCCTCACAATGGACTTGCCTGGCAATCTACACTCTTGGTTGACCCTGGCTATTGTCAGCACACCTGCCTTACCCCCTTCATTACAGTACTGTGGGGGTGCACCCCTTGCTGGTAAAGTCATTGCTTCTTGCCTGCCTTGTCATGACTCTCAGGTTCTAGATTTTCTGCCCTTGCTGCTCCCTTACATGCAGCAGCTAAACTGCATTTGTCACCATGCTCAGTATCTGTCTTCTTTGGCACAAAAACAGAAATCATAGATCTTTACAAAAATCACAAGAAGAAATGAAGCAAAATCCTACAAGAATTCAGTACCTTGCAGCATAAGCCTCCTCACCTGAGGGAAGGCTAATGAAATTAATGAGTCTGCTGTTAATAATCTTGCCTAATACACTGTGTACAACTCTTGTACAAATACATTAACAGAACAGAAAACACAGAAAGAAATAAAAAAACAGACCTTATCGCTTTATGTCTTTCAAACATGCATTTTATTCAGTCATTAACAAAAACCTCTTCAAAGCGTATGTCAGCTTACTTGACTCACGGAAACTGCTAACAGGGGTTAAATACCTAGCTGCTTTTCTCACTTTAGAATCCTGTTCTCCTGACTTCTTTAGGCAGGATACAGAATAACTAAGTAGAGAGCAAGTACATACAAGTGAATCCTGGCATTAAAAGGTGCTCGATTAGAACATGACCATACTGGCAAAGTACAGTGCAGGAAATATAAAGGAGGACATCTATATTCCTTTCATATGCTCCTGTAGTAAAACACTTCAGGTTTTACTTCTCAAGGAGAAAGTAAGTGTCATGACCTAACATTATGGCAGGGAAGTGAAGGAAAGAAAATTCGCTTGGCTGAAAAGGAAGAAGAAAAATTATTCTTCAACACGCAAGTCCTCATTTCTCACATGAGATTTACATTCACAATGCTCCTGACTTCTCTGTTGCAATAGACTTCTTGTTTCTCACATTGACAATCTGGCCTATTCCTATAATGAAATATTTATAATTTTACAATTCTTTCATCTCATGCTATTGAAGGACATCTGTTTCTCTCTTTTGAGTACTAAATGGCATGGCTGTGGAGATACTAAAAAGAAATTGTTATTTCAAGACTGTCACTGCAATTTCTATCAAACTTCTGGTTAACAGGAAGTCTATATTTGGCCTATACATGGTTTTCATTTTGAAACTGAAAATGCATCAAATAGATTTTAAAAAAACCTGTAAGAGAACTAGACTCTCTCCCTCAAGACTTCAATGTGAAACAACTAGAGAAGCACCTGGCTGAGAACAGCATACTCCAGAAGAATAGCATATCCCCAAAGAAGAAGAAACAGGGCAGTTGAAATTGATTGTGTACCTCCACTTGGAAACTGGATTAAGGTTTGTGTTATGTGAACTATTTCTTCAAACACTTCACCTTCCATAAGGAATGTCCTTCTAATCTTGCCTCTGTTACTGGGCCTGGATTTGAGAGAACTTGTGGACCTACACAAACATAGAAAAAAAAGGAGGGCGGAGGGCAGTCATACTTAGTTGTCCCTTGTATCTTTTTCATGACAACAGCTTAAAGAAATCTAGACAGACAAATACCTGCTCTTCCAGTACTCTAATAAAGACACTGAGCTGGGCATAATCCCTGTCAGATTTTTTATCTAGTATGAACTTCACATTCAGATATATATTTCTGCGTTTATCAAACAGCTCTAAGTACTGTAAGTGGTTCACAGAACACAGGCACTGGAATACAGAGCAATTCCTAATTCAGTGATCCTTGGCCAAGGAAGTGTGGATTTAACTAGATGGAACTGGAGGCAAATTATAAAATCTTCCAGAGCACAGGATGCAGAAATGTTAGATAGCTTGCAGGAGGCAGAAGCACGCTATTGTGGTATATTTTGAGGCTTGGTTGCCTCATCCAGCAGGTTCCATATAAAGAGACAAGTGAATAGTTTGAATAAACTTGTGGAAAAGGATAAAGAGCCTTTAATCTCTGTCAGAGCTTTTCCATATGGGCCTCACGTATGAGTAAGTGAGAAGAATTATTAGTATTTTCATAAAGTTGAAGATGAATGCCATTTCCAGTGTAGTTTCTGTTCTTTCATGCTTTTCTTTTAAGAATGTGCAAGGGCTCAAATTTAAATGGCTTTACTGTAGCTAAGTGAGATCAAATGCCTGTAAAATCACTAAAAGCTGACTTCTAATTGTCCTCAATTATAAAATGAATAATTTTGAATTTATATACTACATGAATCATCCAATTCAAATGCAAGCATGACTTAGGCTATCAGAATCTTGACATGTACTGTTATCACTAAGGCAAGAACTGTTTGATGCAATGGAATTAGCCAAAGAATTTGATTTCCCTTCAGCATCTCCTTCTTTCTGTTTCTGAGCTGTTCCTGAATTCTGCATAGAGGTTAAAGTTCCTCTGACTAATTCTTCCTCACCTTGCGTTTTCCCAGTGTTTAGTGCTGTTGCAGAAAAAAAAGAAACATCTTTTATGAAAAGAAAGTAAATTAAAATAAAGAGATCAAAGGCAAGGAGAACTGGAGTTATTTTTCATAACTATTTTCCAAGCAATTAAATGGTATAATTTCTCAGACAGAAGATTATTCATGAATTACTGACTTTGGCTGTTACCCAATTTATGTTTATCACATTAGTCATGTGGATGACATGTTTTCAGACTAATGCCCCAATACTTGCAAAAACTTCAACATTTTCTTAAATGTATCTTTTGTCAGCAAATCACTTAAGCACATGAATTGAGAACATTATATGTCATTTGAGAAATAATATTTTAGCCTGTGCTCAAAATATAGTACCTAACATGAGAAAATAAACAGAAAGTATGCTGAATTACATTTTGGACTACTAACATGTCTGAAGCATAATCATGGCCAATAACTATTTAAAATTGTGATTGCTGTCTCATCTTTGTCACACATAAATACGAGAATGGATATACAAACCAAACTTTTTAGCAAATTCTTCAGCCAGAAAAAAGCAGACAAGATAAATATAAAGTGACCACTTGCATTACAGCCACAACTGAACACTGAACAGCTCTCAACAAAACAAAATATGTGCATTTCTTTTTAATATTATTTGGTTACATAAAAACCTTACTTCTCTCTATTGTCCCTGAATGTTTTGTGCATTTTAGCAACCCTGAGTTAACAGTTCCGTTCAGTGTGATTTGTGTGTAAATATGCAATTAACACTTTATAGTTATTTATATACGACATCAAATTAGGAAAAGGACACAGCACTACATGGGGACCAATTAGGCTTACTGTGTCATTCTCATATTCCACAATTATTTGCGGGAAAAAAACTGTATGTTTCTGCATAAACAGTTTCTTTAAATATTTTTTTTAAATGGAGATACAATAAAAGATGCAAAGAATCAGGTTGTTGTTTTTGTTGGTATTGTTGTTGTTGTTATTATTGATAATTGGTCAGTGCTTCAAACAGATCTGAATACAGCTTCAGGATGGCCATTAGGATGACTAACAGGAAGGCCAAGAACCCGTAAATCTCCACACCACATCCCATATCATTAATTCTGACACCTGCACAAGCCCCTTCTGGATAAAAACTGTCCAAAGCTCAACTGCTTCAGTTCCCTAGGAAAATAAGCAGTGTAGCTGTGACAGGGGAAGAAAAAGAGAGAGGTGCAACAAAGGTACCTCAGCAGACTGCAAGACAGACCCACTTCCTTACCTCTGCAAGAGTCCTCATCCTCGTCACTGAGTAGACTTTGCTCCTGTGGTTACCACAGTTGTCAACTCTGTTTACCTGTTTCCAACAGTCTTCTGTGCCAAGCCACACTACTAAGTTCAGAGATAATCTTTTGTTCCCAGCTTGGCTGATTGCTGTGGGGAGGAGAAAAGCTCTGAGAAAAAACCCTTAAAGAAAATGGGAGGGAGGGAAATGAATACATTTCTGCAACTCTCCACCCACTTTCTCTTCCTAAACACCTCTACTTCTCAGAAAACTATTTTTTTTGTTCCCTTCTGCCTCTCCCTGTGACCCATACCTCTTTCTGTCTTTTGGAGCTGCACTGAAATATTTTTGAACAGAAGTATGTGATTGTCTATCTCCCCCAGCCTCTTAGGAACTACTTGCTGGTTCTTTTCTCTCCAACAGCCCTACTATTCTGCCCACCCAACAAGCCTGTTTCAGTCTGATATTCTCACTGCTACTAGCCTGTTTCAACCTGCTGCTCTGGGGCCTGGAGGTCTCTGCCTGTTGCGAGATAGTGTGCGCTTCGGATCCCAGTGCTCCTCCTCCCACAACTTGGCACAGGCCAATGTGCTGACTTTCTTTTTGCTCTCTCTCATCTGCATCCAAAAGTCCATTCAAGGGGTAAACATAAATCCACTTGTGATTCTTTTTCTTTTGCTTTAGGAAGCATAAAACAAATCATACATTACTTATTCTATTTACAGTTGTTCATTGCTTCTCAAGCAATGGCCAGCCTGTGCATCTTTGCTTCCTTAAGAATGCATGTTGGAAAGATTTGGGAGTGAAGTTTCTCTGCTTTGAGGACTGGGAACCAGGATCACTTCCATTAGTTATCAAAAACTGAGCAGTGGACTTTGGAAGTTTAGACCTTCTCAAGTGGCAGCTGGGAGCTAAGAGAGATGGTGGGGAACAGTTTGGTGTCAGCTTCCAAAATAACTGAAACAAGCATAATACCAGGACAGAACTGATTACCTCCCCACCCTGCTAGTCCTTCAGGGAAAGCTGATGTCTTGGTTCGTTAGTCTGAAGATAATTAGATACCTAATCAGTTGTTCAGAGCTTCCAAAATCTTTGCTCTCTGTCCAAATCTTCTTCCCAGCTTCATCAATCTTATTTTTCACTATTCCTGTGGTGTTTGAGTAATTTCTTAACGTCTTTGATTATACTGTAACAACAGACTTCTTATAAGGCTGAAACCAGTTACTTACTCCCAGTTATTCCTTCCTCTCAGGTCACTGGCAGCTATATATTTCTGCATTTATCAAACAGCTCTAAGTACTGTAAAAAAGGTCTATGCAGGGGAAAGAAAAAAAAAAAAAAAAAAAAAAAAAAGAGTTCTTGCTGACCTTTCTTTCCTTTATTCCACTTCCCTTCAGCTTAACATAAAATCCAATCTGCACATACTTCTTGAATAAATGAGATATGACTTATTGGAAGTAAAATACACTATTTTAGTAGTCACAACTCTTGCATCACAGGGAGGAACATTACTGTGATCCATACTGTCCAACACAGACAGAGGTGCTTTGTTCACTGTGGCCTAAAGTTATTTACAGCTAGTCAAAACCAAAATCTTTGTGCAAACTGAGAAAGGAGAATACGTAATAAAATTCAGCCTTTGTAATCCTGTGTTTCAACTTAGCTTTAAGTCTTCCACGTGTTTCTGCAACATTTGCCTTGGAGCCTTTTCCACTCTTCTTTACTTTACGTATTTTCTCACAATAGCTACAGTTCTAGCGCTCTGTCACAAATGGTTTTCAGCAGCTGCACTGATAGTTTATACAATGAAATGGTATGCAAATGTGTGTAGCAATCTAACTAGGTTTAGCTATAAGTAATCTTACAGTGGATATATCTTTGTAAACTGACTGGACAAATTTGTTCATGAGAATATGCAGTTTATTTATCTATCTTATCTATGTGTCTGAACTCTTCCATCTTCATAATTGCAGCATCTTACAGCTCCTAAGTGTGTTGGTTTTGGCTGGGATAGAGTTAATTTTCTTCACAGTAGCTAGTATGGGGCTGTGTTTTGGGTTTGTGCTGGAAACAGTATTGATAATACAGGGATATTCTTTATTGCTGAGCAGTGCTTACACAGAGTCAAGGCCTTTTCTGCCTCTCTCACCACCCCACCAGTCAGTAGGCTAGGGGTGCACAAGAAATTGGGAGGGGACATAGGTGGGACAGCTGACTCCAACTGACCAAAGGGATATTCCAGACCATGACATCATGCTCAGCAATACGAAAGCTGGGGAAGAAGGAAGGGGTGACATTCAGAGTTATGACATTTGTCTTCTCAAGTAACTGTTATGCGTCATGATGCCCTGCTGTCTTGCAGATGGCTGAACACCTGCCTGCCAATAGGAAGCAGCAAATGAATACCTTGTTTTGCTTTTCTTGTGTGTGCATGCTTTCTGCTTCACCTATTAAACTCTCTTTATCTCAACCCATGAGTTTTCTCACTTTTACCCTTCTGATTCTCTCCCCCATTCCGCCCTGGGGAAGTGAGCAAGCAGCTGTGTGGTGCTCATTGCTGGCTAAGGTTAAACCATGACAGCAACCTTTAAGTAATGAAGTTAATTTTATTAATATTTTCTCTAATGAACACAAGCTAGGCTTTAAAATTTCTCTGGGCAGAGAATTTATTACCTTTTTGATTATAAAATGGGTATGATAATTTTGAACACAATGTAATTTAAATTAAAGCATGTAAGAAAACCTTGGCTGAAGTATTCAGTTTTAAAAGGAAAATTGGGGAGACCAAAAAAGCCTTTTTTTTGGTAGATCGAATATGACTGGAGTTAACATGGTTTCATGAGCCAGTATCTTTCAAATAGGTCCCCTACCTCCGCTTGATTAAATGTAATTTTAACACATAATTTGACAAAATATTACACTGATATTGCCACAATATATGGATTGGCCAACATATCCTGTCTAGAAATACTTTGAATGTGTATATATGGATGATTTTTTCCAGATCCTGTAAACTAATCAGGACACATCCTGAAAAGTAGTTGGATCACTACCTCATTATAAGTGTGCATAGGATATTTCAGGAAATTAAATGCACATCACTTTCTCAGTGAAGAGCAGGGGTCTTTGAATGAGTACACATTTTAGTGGTGCTGTGATGCTGAGAAAGCTGTCTTGCAAGTTGTGTGGAGGTGATGTTCCCTCTCCTAAGTCACCACAGATCATAATAACGTCATATACTGGATCTAGCTAGCAGACACTACTGCTGCTTTCCATTGGGAGAGTATGATCCTGAGTAGCACTCTGCTGCAAAAGAGTTTGTTAAATAATTTAGTAGGAAAGTTGAAATGTTATGGAGAGAATCAAAGTGTTAAAACTTTCATTTATTCCAAAATTCTTGTATCTCTTTTGAGATAATGTGGATTTATATCACAGAGATGCTTTCTCTGTGCTTGTGCTCTGAGATATCCAGGTATAAGACATATTTTTATCCAAAATTATATGACCCACACTTCAGAAGAAAACTGTTTGTGGTCATTAGCTGAAGCTGAGTAATTCAGACATTGTAGTTATGTACCTTTTTAAGCAGAGTTTCTTGCATCTATCAGAGTAAGGACAGAGCACATTTGTATCTGGCAGCAATAAACCAGGGAAGCGTTTCTTACATTTTCCACTCTATCAATTTTATATGGAAGTCTTCTTCAGGTTAGGTGCCACAGGACAGTGTAATCTCTGTATATGCATTTAAGACTTGAAAAAGGTTTGTCTTGGAGGGTATTGCATGATGGCAGTGTGCAGTTTGATGTCTTTATTGAATATACAGTCTATATTTTCGGGATCTTGTCAGTTCAACACGTGAAGTATTCACGTATACAAGAATATAGTGCCACATACATGCACTTTTTTCTTCCTGCTAGCAGATAAGTTGCTATGAAGACACCTTTATTGGCTACAGAAAATGAAGACAAAATGTTTCCCTGTAACCCTGTAAACTTTTTCTAACTGAAGACGCAGGAAGAGGGTTTGGGGTGTGCGTGGAGGGGAGACGTCACAAGTAATCCTTATCAACGGATTCCCTTCTTATCTTTAAGGCACAGATGACAACGCTGCTCTCTTGAGTCCACAAATTAGTGAGAGGACCTCTGGCTTTTTTCTCTGTGACAGACTCTTTCTCTTCTCTATCTAGTGCATTAGCTTTTCCAAATGTAACACTGATCACCACATTGAAAAGAATACAGTGCTGAACATGCCTTTCAGCTGTCACACACAAAAATGTTTAATGTCAGTTACCATTTAGATATCTCTTAGATTTAAACAGATGAATGATTCAAAGAAATATGCAATTATTAAGTGCATTAAGTGTAATTTCTTACGCATTCAAGATGGTTAGGAATCTAGGCGGGTTTCAGAAAATTATTTGTTTAATATCTGCCCTGAAGCGAAATTGAATTAGGAATTTGATCTTCTACATTGTGTGAATAGCAAATTCCCCTGCATCAGTTTGGTAGGGTGAAGTTTTGCTTCATAGGTTGATATTCCAGCTTCAACCCTCCAAAAATATGTACATATCATAGATTGCACAAAAAATTGCCAGCTTTATGCAACTAAATTTAAAAAAAAAAGAGCATTAGAAAAACATGAGGCAGCAATTTTAATGTCACTGGCCATCATGAAAACTCAGGTGGGAGGGTTACCATTTAAAAAGTGACTGTGCTTAGTTTTAGAAGCTTTTGTACCTCAAATGGTCACTGATGGTACTACCAGTGACCAGTGTGATTTGTGGATTAAAGCAATATGAAAAAAATTCTCACTTATATGAAAGACTGTCTGCCTAAGGTTAATAATAGTTTTGGTAACCATCAAAAGCACAGATTATTTTGAAAACATCAGAAGCCTGTAGCACTGCAAGAGCTTGATGCTTCACTAGAGGAGTTCAGAAAAATGGAGGCAGGATAACCAGAGAGCCATAATGTTTTCCATTGTGAATGGGAGGACAGACAGCAGGATGAATTCAT